AAGATTTTTGGCCTCAGAATTTACGTCCGAGGAGTAGCCGATGCCAAACATCTGCTAATGGGAATAAAAATGATCATGCTGCCGAGATGCACATATTTTTTAGGCAACTATCACTAAGTAGGTCCAACATTCTTCTTCCCAAAAAGAGATCTAGGAAAAATTTCATTTTTTTTTCTCCTAAAAACGTGTTTCTATTAATAAAAAAATACGTCCAAGTAAATCTACTAAATAACAACCCTGTTACTACAGAATTGATATTTTCCCATAATCATGTAACAAAAAAGAAATTTTCTCATCACGTACATAATAGCAAGAGAGTATTCTGTGGGCCACGGCCCATATTTTCCACACAATTTATTCCCAACAAGAAAGTTCTTGAATTTCCTTTGATTAATACCCGAACTATTCCATCGTGGTCGTATTCACAACGGTTTCTGAAGTAGGAACGACGACGAGTGGTTTAAGCGTGGTTAAGTGCTACTATCTCGTCTTTGTCCCCGCACGGATTCCTCGTTTGTATGCTGAAAAGCAGCGCGACTGAACTGGACTGTCTCCTGGAAATTGTATTATCGGGTGCAAGACACGAATGAAATTCTTGTACGAATGTTGCATTAGGAGTGGCGAAATTTCATCTTAAATTAACGATCACTTGCCTGAAAACGACATTTAAAAAAGAGAAAAATTGATCAGATTTAAAAATATATAGAATGTAAAATTAAATAAAAGTATTCACAATGAAGAATATGTAAAGAAATTATAGAAAAATAAAATAGCTTATCTGTTATCAGTTTCTTGAAATTTTTCGAAAAATAAGTAACTTGTATCTACCATACGTTATTTGTAATTTGCATATCTTAATGATATTATCATTTTGCATGATGAATGATGATATCTAAAAAAAGGTACTGTAGAATTTGTAGGTTATTAAAAGGGCAATTTGTTAGGTGTTCATCATTCAACAATTAGTCAAATTGTTAGAAGATTTAGGGAAACTGAATCTCACATTAGAAAGTGTGGTCAGGGCAGAAAGAAGGCCACAAGTCAAATTGATGAGCGCTGTCTCCGACAAGAGGTGTTAAGAAATCGAACATGTACAAGTAAAGAGCTAAGTAATCACTTCGCAAATGTTATAAATGTCAGAATTTCTACTTTAACCGTCAGGAAAATACTAAAAGAAGCCATAGTGGCTAGCTGAAGACCTGTCACTGCACCATTGCTTACCGTAGATCACATATCACGCAGATTAAGGTTCGCCAGAGATCATGCACATTGGACTGTCGATGACTGGAAGAGAGTATTGTTTACAGATGAAACAAGAGTAAGTCTAAAATCTCCAGACGGCTTGATAGAGTATGGCGGGGACCTAGAGAAATGTTTTGTGATTGCACTCTCTTCAAGGGAACCATTTGATGGTGGATCAAAAATGTTGTGGGGAGGAATTTGTTTTGACGCACGCACAGAATTAGTCACCATTCGTCCGCGGTCTATAAATGCAGAATTCTATCTAGAAAACATTATTCAAGACCATGTTATGCCGATTGCGCCATTTATAGGAGATACAGTACGGGGATAGAGCACGTCTGTCTTCTAGCGAAGCTCATACTTGTTTGCAGTTTGGTGTGGTTCGAAAGAAAATGATACATATATGCCTACGTGACTTAAACTATTTAGCCTTGAGGCGAAGGCAAGTTGAAATACAAAAAATTACGTACAGTGTTTTTTAAACCAGCAACTATCTTAGCAATGTGCCAAAACAGCATGAGTGACAATTGACATCTGAAAATGAAGTTGTCAAGTTGTCTTTAGTTGGAATTTTTCTTGATAACTTCATTGTCAAATGTCAATTGTCACTCATGCTGTTTCGGCACATTGCTAAGATGGATGCTGGTTTAAAAAAATCCAGTTCGTAATTTTTTGTATTCCAACTTGCCTTCGCCTCACGAAATTAATTGGCTAACCCTTGCTGCCTTCAAGTGGAAGATTAGTAGTTCCTTGTTCTCCATATGATCATGGTTTATTTCTGCATGGACGGATGAACCTCCACTTTCTTTGTTAAAAACGAACCAGCTGGCCTCACATTTTGCACTGGGTCAGTTACCGAATTTCGGTTTGGATATTGAATTATTTAAGCTGGAAGCTATGGTGGAGACCTGGGACTAGTCAGTTGCTGTCCCTCATTAATTTAGTTTAGTTTCTTGATGTTTCTTCTAAAGGTTTTTTTAACGATTAAGTGTACAAAGTTTTTTATTCTATGCTTTAGTACGAGTAATGATAGAGTTTATTGTATTGTAACAGCTCCGTTTTTCTCTTATAGAGTCTTTGATGATAGCTTAAGAGGCCGAAAGCGCTCAGATGAATTCTTAATTAATGGAGTTTTATTAAATAAAACTCAATAATTATACACTTTAAATACCTTTTTGCTTCATCTCTTATTACCTAACGCCAAAAAAATATTTACTGAAGTTATGAAAATTTTCGAACATTAATAGCTGTGACGTAAGCTCATTTACAATCTCTGAAAGGTTAAAGAAACCGAGGAATTTTGGCGAGCTTATATTTTATAAACCACGTACTTTTTATCAAAAAGTACGTGCCATAAAAAAGGATATTTTAACCTTTGAAAAGTTACAAGGACTGTCTTTTTCAAAAAAGGGCAGGTGGCAATACTATCTAAAACAGTCTTTAACTGTTTGACAAACTATGACAGGATAGTTTCCAACACGAGATATTCATCTTATATCACATTTTCTAAATTATTCATATTATCAAGTTCCAGGAATAATAAAAAAATCAATTATAGTTATGAAACGAAGTTATTTAAAAAGAAAGTCAAGTCGGAGAGAGCCATTTTCACTGTTCTGTGATACAATTTAGACAACCGCAACGATGGGATAAAACGTTGATTGTCAGCGCCTACTTCATTAGTTCCTCTCCTTTTCGGAACTAATCCCCATTAAAAATGAAATTAAAATTACAAACGGGCCGCAATTAAGGAATGGGCGTTCTCCGTGACATCCCGGATCAAGAAGGGATCATATTCTTAATTTAGCAAGTGACGTATAGGCGGGTAAATCGCGCAGTTTTGTCGCCTGACGTGATTCCCGTTTAAGGGATCGCCGGTCGCCACCAGTGGTGGGTTATAACGCATAAATATTTAAGGCTGATTTTTAAATATACATATTATACTGGTGTTATTAAAAAAATAACATATACAGGGTGAATCCTAAGTTGATATTTTTTTAACTCTGTATAGTAGACGTAAAAATAAATATCTTTTTAAATAAATCACTTTTTTAAAAACAAAAATAAGAAAAATAGAAAATCTAAATCCGGGCCTGGACTTGTGTATAAAAAGTTACGCCAAATAATTATTCTGTTTACGTTCTTAGGTTTTTCGGCTTTTCTTATGAATCATGATTCAATTGTGTACCGGTTATTGTAATTCAGTTGAGTGTAATTGCAGTTGCGTGTGTCTCTGAATTAGTGAATTTAAATTGTTTAGTGTGGTAAATTAAAATTGAAGTACGTTCAGAAAAATGCAGATCGGGTGGGAGGTAAGCCAAAGAAATGTGTGGACAACATTGCGGGAAAATCAATTATAACTCTTTAACGTTCAACGTTTTTAAGCACTGCAACTTAAAAGATTTGCCCTGCACAGTCCAACTGCATAAATGTGATCAACATTTTTCAACAAAACTTCTACACATTATTTAAGTTAGACAGGACCGTATTATATACATTTTGGAATACATTATTAAGTTTCCTAATTTTGAGGTTTTTTTTGAAACTTTTTCATCTATTTCATCTCACCTCGCTAAACATTTTCATGCCTAGCAGACAGTGGCGACTCGTGGGCACTAGCGATAATGGGGCACATACTGGAAAGGAATCCCGGGATTCGTTTTTCCCTTAGGAAAACAAGTTCTCCGCTTAATGAAAATTATATACAGTGAGCATCATAAGTCTTACCCCCCCTAACTAACTCGTTACTGGGGTCTTGTTAGGAAAATCGCCGAGACAGGTCGATTTTTGATTTCTACAGTATACATTTTTGCATGATTAGTTTACCCTTAATTTTATCCCTTACTGGAGGGTAGCAACCCTTTCAAAAAATTTAAATGGCATGGGGTGGTGAGTGATAGCTCATTTGAAAGGGGGTTTTATTCTCTATTCAACCGTGCAAAAAATTTTGAAATTTGCGTCATTACGTGTTGATTTATTAATGTTTAAAAATAACAAAACCTCACAAAATAGGAAAGCAACTAGACTAACAGTGACCTTCTAATGGCAAAAAGTCTTACTTCACGTCTGAACCAAAACCGAAATCATGCAGGGCCGAATTTTAATTCTAAGGATGAGTGTGCTACGTTAATTTCCGTTATTCTGAAACAACAATTAGTCGAGAATTAATAAAGCAAATTTCAAATTTTTTTACACATTTGAATAGAGAATAAAACCCTCTTTCAAATGAGCAATCACTCATCACCCCATGCCATTTAAATTTTTCGAAAGGGTTGCTGCCCTCCAGTAAGGGATGAAATTAAGGTTAAATTATTCATACAAAAATGTACATTGTAGAAATCAAAAATCGACGTGTCTCGGCGATTTTCCTAACAAGACTCCAGTAACGAGTTAGATAGGGGGGTAAGACTTTTGGTGCTCACTGTATATTTCAAAACAATCAGTTGGGGGCAATAACGATTTCTAAATGTGACTACAGGGAGCTAAATGTGACCACTCAAAATGCATTTAACTATGTATGTGTATTTAATCAAAAAATCATTACATATTCACTCTTGCAAAATTTGCGTAAATTTTTCAGAAGAATGCAATTTACTTAACAATTCTAACTTTTAAATTTTAAGGCATACGACTCTGAAGAAAAGGTGTTTGGCAATTTAAAATCTCCCAGCGAAAAATTTTATATTTTCAAATTAGAAAAAATATTTATATCTCTATTTGATAGTTTGTCAACTAAGTCTGGAATTTCCAACGTATACCTTTTTGAGATGAGCAAAATATAATTTGGTCATCCTTGCTAACAATTTGCGAAAATGTACACCATTAAATTATTTATAAGAATTTTTTATAATCTTAAATATGCAAACAGAGATTTGAAATCATCGAAAAAGACAAAACCAAAAGAAAAATTAAAGTTTTGTCCCATTTATAAATATTACTGATTTGTTTTTCATCATATTTTTGACTGCTTTATATAAAAAAAGTTATTTTTCTTTTTAGTTTTATTTCTTAACTATTCCAATGGTCCAACTAACATTTTTTCGTAATCACAATAAATAAATTATTATCATGGTCCAACAAACGCGCACCTCTTCATCTTGTGAGGGAGCCGGTAAAGAAGCCGCTGCGTACATTCGTATTTGGTCTAGGTAATCTGTGCCATGGGACAGCGCCCTGCTTGTGACGTATAATCCATCGCATGTGTTCATCTCTTGCTAAGCGATATTGTCGTTGTCCTTGTTTTTCGCATCATAATGAGAGATAAAACAACAGAGGCACACATTTCCTGTGCCCTGTGCCCATCTTAATGCGCTAGTTCAGTGATGATGTAATTATGGTTCCACTGACAATTAAGGTGACAGTAGATTTTTTGAGTGCGTTTTGTTCGTTTTGTTTACCTAAATTATATCGTTTTTTTCACTTTTATAAATATATTCCTAAAGTAAGTAGATAGCATGTATCAAATATACAATCGTTTAGTTACTAATTACATACCTTTAAACTATTTTTATGACCTGTAAACAATATTTTGAAATAAATTAAAAACAGTAAAAACGTATATGTCAAATTTATTGATGTTTTTGTTAAAAGTTTGGTTAGAATTAAATGTCAGTGGAACCAAAATGACATCACACTGAACTAGCCACATACTTTGATATCAAAGTATGTGGAACTAGCGCATTTCGGAATTCTGGGAACGTCACTCAACGCCCGGTCGTCCAGTGTCGTGCCAACGCGGTTTGCGCTGAATATTATATAAAATAATAATAGGCATTGAGGAAAATATAAAATATGTAAGTTATTTTTTTTTGTTTATTATACTAGGGCACATGCCCAAGTGCCCTTACGGACAAACCGCCACTGCTTTCAGATATGCCTATTTTTTCCCTGAAGCTATTTATTTATCCAACCTGAGGATTCTAAAAATTTGTGAAATGTCGTAAAAAAATTGATACACATTAATACATTTATTATATAATAGTGGTAAAATATTTACTTAAATTCTGACGTATCAATGGAATTTTCAATATTAAAATTAAATTTTGTACTTGATACTTTAATAGCTGTGTCAATGATTTAATGATAAAATAAAATAAAGCAACAAATTTTAAATTAGTTATTAATTAATTTATTATCCAATTATCCATTCACTTTTTACTTTTATAAAAAAATCAAAAATAACAAAGATAAAGAATTAATAAATCTAAAATCAGGCTTAAAGGTGTGTACGAAAAATTAAACGAATTAATATCACGAATACTGTAATGCAGTGGCCTCATTTCGTTAGTAGGTCAGTAGTCTGTTTAGCTGTTCAGTATGGTACATTTAAAATGAAGTACGTTTAGAACACATTTTAAATAATAATGTGCTACTACTGGTGCCATCTAGATACAAATGCCCCGCATTATAATTGATGCACAGTTGTCCTGCCAGCTTATTACTGCAGCAGTGATACGTCAACAACGGTTTTTAATATTTTCTAAATTTTATTAACGATTTGTGCCTTTCTCAGGTATGTAAACAAATCCAGTGTGTTACTGACAATTCTTTAATAGGTATTGCCAGTAGAAAATTGTTGAAGTTTTGGTTTTGTTTATATTTTAACATCGACATTTAATAAATTCATACATGGGGATAAAATGACGGAGTTAAGATGATGAACTCGTCATCTTACCCCAAGCGCCAGTATTCTTTTACAGAATGCCGCGGGTGTACAAAAGCAAAACCAATCGTAGGGAGTGGAATGAAAACTCCCTTGCAGCAGCTATGAGGAAAGTACGCAAAGGATCTTTAAGTTGTAACGCAGCTGCAATAACTCGAGGTGAAGAGTTCCCAAAGAGGTCGTTTTAGGAAAACCTTTAATGCTGAAAAAACGAAAGAATTTGTTAGCTGCCTAACAGAATGTAACCAACGAGGCCTTGGATTAACTTCCTCGCAAGTTCGGAAACTCGCATATCAATATGCTGAAGCGAATAATATAGAACACAGGTTCAACAGGGAAACAAAAGCAGCCGGAACTGATTTTTTAAAATCTTTTAGTGCACGTAACAAGTAGAGTCTTAGAAATCCTGAAGCGACTTCAATTGCACGGCTACGAGGATTTAATAAGATCGCTGTCAAATTTTTTTACAATTTTGGAAGAGGTTAGGACCAAATACAAGTATAAAGCAGACTGCATCTACAAAAGAGTCTGGTATTTCAACTGTGCCAACGAGACTACCAAAAATCATCACTCCAACAAGATAACGACGAGTTGCTAAAATAGTGACACCCGAGACAGGTCAAAATACAACTTTGGAGTGTACAATGAATGCTGTCGGATTATACGTACCTCCATTTTTTGATATTTGGCCGAGTTAAAATGAAACTCGAGTTGTTAAATGATTGTCTTTCCGGTTCTGATGGTAGGGCACAACCTTAAAGCTGGATGACGGCGGAAACTTTTCTTGCCTACTCAAAACACTTTGCGCACTACACAATACCGTCTGTTGATGATCCGGTATTGTTACTGTTTGATAAGCACAGTTCCCATATTTGCCATCCTGGAATCAACTTCTGCCAAGAAAATGGAATTGTGCTTGATTCTATTGTGATTTTTGTGTTTTTACCTTTTTTATTTTTTTAGCTTTTTTACTTTTTGTGGCTTTATACCTTTTTCACGTTTTTATTTTTTTGGCTTTTTTACTTTTTGTCTCTTTGGCTTTTTAAACTTTTTAAAATTTTTTCCCTTTTTGTTTTTTTGGCTTTTTTGGCGTTATTGGCCTTTTTCTGTTGCTTTTTGGGACTTTTTTTACTTTTTACCATTTTTGTTTTTTTTTTTACTTTTTCGACTTTTTTGACTTTTTTACTTTTTTTGACTTTTTTTACTTTCTTTTTACTTTTTTTTACTTTTTTTTTACTTTTTTTTACTTTTTTTTTACTTTTTTTTTGCTTTTTTGGGCTTTTTGGCCTTTTTGGCCTTTTTTTGGACTTTTTTTGACTTTTTTTGACTTTTTTTGATTTTTACTCTATCTTAATAAAGTATTTAAAAAGTACCTACATAGTATTAAATCTTGTACAATGGTACGGAACCATTCATTCGCGAGTCCGACTCGCACTTGGCCGTTTTTATTTTCCTTATTTTAATATAATTTTTTTACGAAGCAAGCCGCGAGACTCCTGGCCGCACAGATTAAGTAAATTAGTTAATTTTTGTTTTAATTATAATACTAGAAACATATTTCTATTGTTTTCACTACCTTTCATTTTCTTTTCTATAGTAATGAGGATCGTTTCAAATTATTCTGATTTATTAAAAGGAATTTCAATACTAACCAGAATTTAAATTTGATTGTATATGTATATGCAGAAATCAACATAAATTAAAATGTATTCCTGATAAAATAAATTATGATATTTACTTTTTATCAACAGAATAGACGTTTTCAGGATTTATCTCTATTTGACAAACTATCAAATACGCCACTGATAGTCACCCTTAAAAGGACTACTACCCCCGGAACGGTATGATAGACTGCTGCGAGGGGACAGGAAGACTATATCAAGCAGAAAACCTCAGCCCTCGAAATCATGACACTGAAAATGTTACCATTTTACACCACACCAACCCCTAAAATATCCATCACTTAAGGGTCGCTTTTCCCTGCCAGTAAAAATTTTTGACTTATTTTCGTGTGACGAGGTGCCTCTGTAATACTTTATAAGTGAAGCCAACCGTCCTTTATAAATGGATTTTATCAATTTTAAACTCTGAAGGATTTTGATTTACGCCAAAATGATGTTTTATCTCTTTTATGATTTCGGAATTTCCAGATAACGCACATAGTGCCCCCTTCCTGCCAGTCTGTAAAGTTATGGAGCAGGATTTTATTACATGACACTTCAAAACTTATTTACTTTAAGGGCGAATCAATCATGTTTTTACTTTATGATTAAATCTAGGTGTTATCTTTATCTATTACTTGGGAACTTACGTATATAGTTTCTAAATCATTAACGTGCAATGCAAAACTTGTATTGGGTTTCAAAATATTTATATTTTGTTAGTAATAACTAGTAATGTAGGTAGTACGTATTTCTACCCAACTCGGTACAAGTTTAAAATTTTTCTAAAATATAATATACATCCTTATCGTTAGCCTATCACTTTTTATTAATAACTACCTACGTGTTTGTCTATAGTTTTCAGATCTTATGAGTTATTAAGGTAGGGAGGGTTTGTAATTCTTTTCGGAAGATTGAGAAAATCCATTGTTTTTCCTTACCAGGTAAGGGTGAGATTACAGAACGTCTGCAACTTTGCAGATCTGCAAATATGGCGGCAACTTTGCAGATCTGCAAATATGGCGGACTTACAGAGGCAAGTATTAAGTTTTCGTATTCCAAAAAATATCTCCAAATTCGCAATATTTATTGTGGTTTATTACCTCCAACAACACTAACTCCAAAACCACCCTTTAGAAGGTTAGAACGTCCTACAACCATAAAGTCTTCTGTTTCTCTTGATTGAATACAGTTCGTGGTGTCAGATTATCGAGTTTTTAAACTTAGTAATGGTTTTGGGACATATAAAATTGCTAAACAAAGAACTTTCTTCTGGATGATTTGCAGTCAGAATTGTGGCTAAAGAAATAGTTTTTAAACCAGCTAAAAGTGTATATTGCGCTCTGGTTAAGATATATGGAATTGCATTTTGGGGAGGTTGTTGTAGCCGTGAGTTAGTCAATACTGTTTTTTATCTGCAAAAAAGAGCAATACATTTTTTATGTAGAGTGTACAATATCGACACATT